CCCCAAAACCCCAAAACCCCAAAACCCCATAAGCTCATAAAGAGATAGATATTTGATAAATGTAAGAATCTAAATTAACAAAAGCTTGCTTCGAGTATTTACATTGTTTTCAAAAGCAATTATAGTTTAGCTTATTTCAAATAATCAGATACAAGCTTGAAATAATCATAAAGATACAATGTCAAATGGCCCTCTAGCAGTTTAGACTGTCGCCTGAGGAGTAATATTCTTTCCGAATTCATTCCGAAGACTGCTTTCTTTGTTACAGACATAATATTCCTCCTATCCAACTCTATTTTATTTAACACCCTTTAGAAATGTCACATACTTAGGCCATATCTTGCTATGTACATAAACAATGCCAACTATAATATCCTATCTGTTAGAGTTATACAGATATAGGGTATATGGACACTATCTGTAAGCATTTAGATCCCTACTTATTTAAGCTGTCACCTCAATTTTACGATCTTAAAAGATCTTTCTCACCATATAGAAATTGATTGGTTTATCATAGGCAGTAAGTTCAGGATTACTATACAAAACTGTATTATGTTGACTTCCAGTTTTTGAATGTAAATTGCTATTACTTGATCTGTCTTAGACTTTAATCATTTGTTTATCTCTATAAGTCATTATCTTTTAAGAGGACTGTGATGAAGATTGATCTAAGGAAGAATAATCATCGTTTTTAGAATATTTAATTTGACTATGAATGCTCTAAAGATGGTTTTTACTCTTTTATTGAGATTATGATTGAGGGTTATGCCTTGAGTTTTCTTAATAAAACTGCATTATTGAAGATTCCTGCGTCTAGAGCTTATAGTCGATTTCAACCTTATTTTCATGAAATTACTTAATCTCCTAGACATAGCAATTGTTGATTTCTAATTCATATTTTCCTTCGTCTTTGTCATTAGGGGTTATTTCTATATCTGAATCTTCATTTAGCTAGTCCAATGCTTCCTTGAATTAAGCATGAATGTCCTTCTTATATACTTTGTTGTATATTTATGAGTATGATTCTGAGATAAGCTCAATCAAATTGTTCACATCAATAGTTTCTGTTTACTTCTGATTTTCTATAATAGTTAGATCTATCAGCTTTATCTGCTCTAATAGTTTGACAAGATTGTAAGTTTTTAACATAAGGTCAAGCACATGGCTAGTTCTATTAACAATAGCTTCCTAGAAGTTGTTAATCATTTGCATAAGCGATATTGCATCTTGGTCAGCCAATAACTCTTTATTTTAGTTTAGCAAGTATACTATTTGCGCATTCATTTTCTAGCTCGGAGCCTAGCCTTAGATTAAGTTCATTAGCTGTTTCAAAGAATCAACTTAATTAAAATTTATATTATTTGAGATATTAAGGCGTCCAATCATTTTCGTATATTCCTCCATTGAAAATTGTTGTCTGTTTTTCTCAGTAATTAATTAATCTTAACAATTTCATTGATAGAATTTTAATTCATGGGGTTTTGGGGTTTTGGGG